CTCTCTCTCTCTCTCTCTGGCTGGGATCAGGCTCTTCACTTCGCTGCTGCTGCAGAAATCCTCTCTAGATCAATAATGTCCGTCTGCGCGTCTTTGGACAAATCGGGTCGGCGGTTCATGGATCGTTAACTGGCTTGATGCGAGCTCCGATAAACCCCCGGAGGATGTTTCAAGTCATACTGAATGGTTGAAATTCACTTTCAAACTTCGTCAGCCGCGGACGGAACAGCGGGATGCTCATGTTATTTTATAAGCGCGTCGTCGGCGGGATGCTGCGAGTGCGTCTCCTCTGCAAGGTCCGAAACTTTTCTCCCATTACGCGCAGCCGGGGGGAGATAAGATGCGCCACCTGGATTAGATCCCCCCTTTCACAATGAATTACACTCCAGAATTCATCCAAGGTTTGTATTTCTATCGGCGGTATTGTTGCTCATCAGCAGACGTGACAGAACGTCAAAATCGGCCGTCATATTTGTTTACCCAGATTTGTGTTGGGTATTCAGCCCGGTGCGCGCTTTGTTCCGCTCCTTTCCCTCAAACCAAACCTCTCCCCAGCACTAAACCCGCGTCCACTTGACCTTTTTTTCTCCTATCGCAGTTCAGATAAAATACATCCCAGACGGAAGAGCGCGCTCCTTTCCGGTATTTTCAGTCCAAACTTAACGCACAATAACAACTGCGAGACGGGAGCATCCTCCTCGGGAGCTCTTACAGCATCTCAACTTGGTGATCCCTCCGCTGTCACTGGCTCCAAATCCAAACGTGTGACTCCGGTCGCGGTGCGCCTTTCACTTTCTGCGCGTCACGTTGACCAGCGGCGCAAACCGGGGGAGCCGCGGATGATCACAGCTTTTAATCCGAACATGCTCCCGTGCAAAACCCTCCACCTATGCCGACAAACAACACTCACACCGGCACCCTGATTCGGTCTAAGTAGCCCCCACCCCCTCTCTCCATCTCTCGCTTGCTTTTTTTCTTCTTCTGCGCGGGCGGGGCCTGTAGCCGTGGCGCGCCGTGCTGTGCCGTGCCGCGCTCCCTCTGGGGACGCGGGCCTGGCTCACTGAGTCCCTGGTGATGCACAACAGAGGATGTATAAAAAGAAAGCCTCAAGTCAAATAAGCACATTTTCGGTTGGAGTAAGTGAACTGACCATTTTCGTGTGACGCGAATCAGGAATTCAGAATTACTGGGATACATTTCCAAGAGAAACACTGGGAATTGCGCCTTTGTCTGTGAATGTTTACTTGTTAGGCGTGTTATTAATCACCCCTACAGCCGTCTGTTTGACTGAAGGCAATGTAACATGTAAAGCGCCCATAAAAGTTCTCCCTCTGTTTGAAAGCTGCGGCCTGATGGATGAGCTCAGAGAGGGAGAGAAACAGGGCGTCTGATGGATCGCTGGAACAGTGGAGTCATTTTCCATCAGTGTCCATTAGGCCCAAAGGGCAAGCGAAGGCAGCACCGAGTCTAAAACCTGTGAGCCATAAAGCTCCAGATAGCTCTGTCTGACGGAGCGCTGCCACCCTGCTGCCTCTGTCCTGCATGTGTGTGTGTGTGCGCGCGCCAGACTCCCCTGTAAAAACATATCCATCTTGGCATTTAGTCTAGAGGTATAGTAACTACATTGTTTCCACAAGGTGATGCATGGTTTTCCCCCCCCAACATGCGTCGATAACCTGAGGAGAACGAGCTCCAGTGGAGGATCAATCAACTCTCAACAAACAAGATTGGGAATTGATTCAAGATAAATGATTTGCAACAAGTTCATTTTCATTCCTTAAAAATGGGAGCGCAACACTGTTAGATATAATTGAGAGAAACACAATTTGTAGACCCAGTAGCAAAGGATTTAGTAGACAAACTCTTTCAAGGCTCCTTCAAAAGACAGTTTTCCAAAATCAAACTGACTGACTTTGTCCCACCGGTCACAAGCCTAACAGTGCCTGTGTTATAATTTTAAAACTGAACCTTTCCGCAGCTCCATCTTTCACATCTTATATTGTGCCTCTCGGTTGGATCCTTTATGCAAAGTGTCCTAGTTTTGCTTTGCCCTGCTCTGCCTGCAAAGTAATGCCTATAATTTGGGCTGCATGAATTCAAGCAAGGGAGAGAACCCATGCACCCCCATAACCCAAATACAGCTGCATGTTGTCCGCCTCTGTGGATGAATTATTCAACATCTGTCTGAGGCGTGCATATGTAAACAGGTGGATAGTCTCCGGATGGCTTTTTTAAGGGGAGCCACTATAGACCAAAAAGACATCCTTCACCTCAGCTTCAGACTGTTCCTCCTCTGCTGTGTCACTGTGGAAGGGAGTCTAAATCTCATGTAAGCTGTGCAGACTACACGGTTATTGGGTGTGTTCAGAGACGGAGGCCTCCTAAGTGGTCCTAAATCTAAATGAATGCGGGTCAGAGAGTCAGCGTATGGACTCATGCCTCCTTAAAAGGGCGTTAAATCCCGGGGAATTTATAGCTGGTTAGGTCTGTGATTGCTCTGCAGTTTAACTCCACTCAGGAGACATCAATTACAGACACATGACTTATCTCCCAGCTCCAGATCTTAAAACATAAAACAGATGAATGTATGTCTTCTCGAGCTGTTGACTAACAAAGCAGCCATTCTTTCGAGTCTCACACTTTAGACAACCAGTGTTCTGGCTTTTGTGGGGATTTAACTCGTCACAAGTTATATACATGACTGTTTCTTGAACCACTTGCCCCCCCCCAGTCAGGTTTGCATTTGTGTGTGGCCTCAGTGTTTGCCAGTATTTGCTTGATTAGAGGCCGCAGGACTAATGTAAATAAATGCTGCCAGATGTGGAAGGATCGCTACGCCACGTGGTTTCATTTAGTCCAGTGCACACAGGGGCTGGATGAAGATCGTACCCAGGGGTCTGGGTTTGGCAAACTATTAGGAGAGGTGGGTTACAGGAAAGTGCACGACACACTGAACTGGTTCAAAGTACAAATGGAGTGACATTTTGGATGTTGCAACAGAGCTCATAGCACATGAAGTATAGCTTCTTTCTTTGGTGTCAAGTAACTTTTGGATTAGAGCAGTTTTTTGAAAATAAATGTTTGCTGTGCATACAGGGCTTGGGTTTCTTTTTATTTATTTATTCATTTCTCAACAGATTAAAAGTATATGAAGTAACATATTTTGTGTGCCAGTGACTTCTGGAATTTGATAACCCAAAAACATCACAAATCTATGTTTGGATCGTCTTACTTTGAGTTATCCTTCCACCCAATTATGCAATCTCTTTGCATTTCAATATATTCCAAAGAGGATTCTGTGTAGACTGCTCCCTGCTCTAAATTACTCTTGGTGCAGAGTGAAATACTAAGATGCTGCAAGTAAACAAGGGTCTGAGGTATCAAAGCAGCATCAAAGCGTCACGTTGCTGCCATGGAGTTTCATAACTAGTAGGGAAATACCCAAAATGTTTTTAAATAAAAGCTACATGAATATATCTTGGCAAAGGTGACTATTCTAATACCTTAGGGGTAACATTAAAATAAATGATCTGCTTGTGAGTGTAGCCTTCTTTAAGCATCTTATAATATGCTGTTGAGATTTCTGCCATGTTGCCCAGCAAGTATGAGACTGCTATCTGTCTTTACTATGACCTTCAAGCATGCTTTCTTATGCAAAGTAATAACAGAAGAAAAACAAGTGCATTAGCCGTGGAATTTGCACTAAGTTGGAGCTCACTATATTGAAGAACTCACTCCACAAACTGCTGGGATTATAAAACAGAAATCTCAGCCACAAATACAGACACCCCTGGACTCGATTCTCTCTTTCTCTCATTTGTCCCTCTCTCAAAAGGCAGGGAAGATCTGAGGTTAATCCTCTCTACTGCTCTGTAAGGAAGTCGAAGGAGAAAAAAAGAAGGTATAATGCCAGAAAGCCCAAGGAGGCACTTGAGATTAAGCCACTAACTATTGACATTGTGAGTGGCAGGTAAAGTCACCTCTGCTCAACATCCTCTGATTGCCAGCAGAGCAAGACCTCCCCCTAGTGGTTCAGGAGGTGCATAACCAGTTTGTCATTGAGGGTTTTTCTCCCACATCCCCGAGGAACTCTGTGATAAACATGGATGCTAGATACGCCTGATAACCATGCTTGTGTTTTATCTTAATTATTCATCTTATGAGATACAGAGACTTGGTTTCCACAGCAACCTGACTCATCTCTTCAGTCAGACCTGCTAAACTGAAAAGGTCAAAGCAGAGCACAGGAGGATGGAGGATTATTATAGAATCATTGAGAACAGCAAGTATCCAGCGTTGCATATCAAATTAACTCCTCCACCCTGCCATCATCATCGCAGCTGTTTCATCGAGGGATTGTGATGGGATTGCGCTGAGGCCAGATGAGCAGTCAGTCAGGTTTCAGATGGGATGAGTACAAAGTTGGAAATATAGTAAAAAGATATAAAATAAATAAAAACCCCACCAGCAGTAAACAGGATGGGAAATGTGGAAAATGTTACGAGATGTTAACCGTTAGAGCAGCAGTACCACAGGACAGAGGGGAAGAGACAGAAACCAAATGAGGCCAGATGAAAGAAGGAACAAACTAAAGATTTATTGAAGGCAGCAGAAGATGCAAGAGACAAGAACAGGATGGCAAGGGGGGGGGACGGGCACATACAGAGACACTTCTGTGTTCAGATAGGTTTAATGTCTTTGTGTTACAAAAGTTTTTTTTGTTTTTACAGCTCCAGAGAGCTTAATAGGTCTGTATTGTTTTATCAAAATATACATGTTTTGAACGTAAAGTGGATATACTCCAAATGATTTTGTGGTACAAAAACATGAATATATACAACCATCAATCCCGCTTCATACAATAACCCCACCCCGCCCCCATATAAAAAAGGAGAGAAAAATAAAAGCTTTTAACAAAAATTTAAAGGCATATAATCTTCTACACTGTCAACATCACAGCTAAGACTGTGGTTCAATTAAGTATCCATTCTAAAGCAATCTCTACCAAAGTAGGCTCTTTGTAAAGTCAAACAAAAAAAAAAAAAAAAAGGGATACAATATACAGTATAGGTTGAAACCCAGAAGATATTTCAACTTCATGTGAATTCTGTCCAAGGCATTTGAGAAACAGGAAAATTGAGGAAATTGAAGCCTTGTGTACTTGTGGAATTGCAGGAATGTGAAAAAACCTTTTAGGAAATCACAACACTACAAAACAGTGGGGGTAGAAGATACTTTGGTCCTTAACAGCAATAACCGTCTGCAGCTACATGAAGCTTTGTTAAACCATGCATAATAATCTTTTACAAAAATAGAGACAGAGCACATCTGTATCTGGTCCAAAACTACAGTGGTCGAGGCTGTGGAAACTGGTGCTTTGAGGCACGCAGGAATGTGACGACGTTTAAGACTTCAGCGTGATGGTGCCAACTTGGACCTATCATCAAGGAAAAGTGCACTAAGGAACCTGACTGTGGTGTAAGTGGACACAGACAAGAAATGGGTGAGGGCTATCCCACCCTGTAATCCTGGTGTCCTGAATTTAAGAAAAAAAAATTATGCTGGGTTTTTAGACACAGTCCAAGACTGTTGTTACTTTGAATTGACAAATGCCTCCAAGCTGCCCTCTCACAGGTAGGATTACCTGAATATAATGGGATAAAGGCATCTTTGCAGACAGGTAAGATAAAACACCTGAACGAGAGGTAAACAAAGTCAACTGACCAGGCAAGCCTCGGATTAAAAACTCAAGGAGTCAAGGCACTGTGATAATGATTAAACCCAGCCACTACGTATAGGTATCAATTAAGCTTAGAAGTGATACATGTAAATGCTAACATTAAAAGAAAAGATAAATGAATATATGTGTCCACATATAGATGAACATAATATGGTTAAATGAGGCCCCAAACGCCAATGTCCCTACTGAGAAAAGGACTAAATGGAGGTGAACGGGGACTGTAAGACAGGAAGGCTGGATACAGCTCTACTCCCGCCACAACACACCTAACAGAGCTACACCACCTAGCAAAAATATTAGGCATCTAACTGACTTACATTCATAGTTTCTACATACATACATATAACGGGGATATATGCATACAAATCCTTAGATAAACCTTTGTTTTCTTAAGAGGAAACAGAAGACAGCCATTTTCACCCATTTCAACAATGCTGGTACATACCAAAAAGCATGAAAAAAAGGCATTTTGAGAGACATTTTTCCAAAAAAGCCAGAGCAATGCTTTAGGCAATCTGGTGGGGGCAAAGTAAGGCACAAGAATGTAAATAGAGATTATTGAAAGAAAAACAAAAAGTGTACTTATTGAATAACTTCAGATAGTGGTATGGATCCCCTGAAGCAAATAGGTGGGTAGTTACAAGAGGACAAAACAAAACTGGATACTAGGAAATAAATTGCTTGGTGTTCTGTGAGCCAAAACAAAATCCTTTGTCTCAAACCGTTTCTGACTGGCCAAACAGGTTCAAAGTGGCATTTCAAAAAGGCACACACACACACACACATATATCCCATAGTAAAAGGAATGCTTGAAGTTGTGTCTTGTTGGATACGTTCATCCACATAAGCATACCATCATTGTTTTTTTTTTTTTTTTTAGCGATTTGGTCTAAAGTGACAGTTCATAAGCTGCCCCTACTTTACCTCCAAAATAACATGTTTCATTGCAGAAGGTTGCCCATTCCCCAGGACCCCACTAAAAACTTGATGAACTATGATAGAACAAATTAATGATTAGGTTTGGGGTACCAAGAACATGTCCTGAACTGGAACCAGTTCCAATTTTATCAAGACCATGGATTTGTTCAGAAACACTCTTATGATTCCACTTACTGACTTCTGAGTTAATTTTGGACCTACTTTGTTTACACTGCCAGTTACACTTGTGCCAAGGCATGCAAATGGTGTTTAATGTAAAATGTAATCACCAAGTGAAAAACACTTCCTGCATTCAAGAAATCTGTACAACATACTGCGGCATGGTACAAGAATTTAGGGTTTTTGGGGTCCCCGGTCAAATTCATAATGCCCCTGAATCAGTTCATGTTAGCAGGTCTAGCTCAAATACAAACAAGTCTTAAACTACAAACAATTTTCTGCATAAAATTAATATTCATATTTGTCTACATTTTAATTTAAAATACCATTTATTGTGTGCTGAACTAGTTTATGACACCATAAATCAAAAGAAAATGATGGTATTTGTTTAACATATTTTGGTGTCTTATGTGACACAACTTGGAACCAGAATCTATAAACAGTCAATTAAATCCTATACCCAAACCTATTAATAATGGGGAATCATTAGCACTGGGGGTGAAAGGAGCAACGTTCTACAAAGAACCACAGCCATAAATATGTAATGGTGGCCATTTCCACTGAATGCAACCTTCACAAAAGTAGCATTCAGATGGCAATAGACATGGAGGGAGGAAGAAAAGGCACTCAGATGGTGGACTTTGAGAAGGACACTCGAAGGTGGTGATTCTCTCCCAGATCGTGGTTGTGGAACTCGATGAGGGACTCAATTGCCTCCTCGACTGAGCCCATCTGGATCAGGGCCATCTTGCGGTCCTTTCTGTTAAATAAAGAAAACAACGCGTCAACATGCTGCCCATTTTTGCCAGCCATTTGGTATGTTGTACTAAGAAGACTGAGTAAGGTGTCTTGTAGAGCAAAAAAAACAACCAAAAACTAAAAAATCTGTAGACCAGGAGGAGGCCAGGGGACCGTTAATAAAGAAATAATATTTATCACATTAACAAACAATTAACAAGATTGTTGATGTGGCAGAATAAGATGAATTCAAAGTCACGATGTTCTTGCAGTGCCATCAGATGGGAAAGCTCACTGAAGCTAGTATATTTTGACGCATTAGCAAACCTTGCATACAGTAAATGTCAACTGGCAAATTAAACAGTTGTTTTATGAGGTGGCAAAATAAAGGCAAATCCATTAGTCTATTTTTAACTAAATTGCCTGTTTTCATTATCAACCTGTCGACAATTGCTGTCCTCATTCTTTGCCATGTCTTGTGTACAAGTGTCACCGTTTCTGCACACTGCATAGACCGCCGACAGGCTAATACACAACTTCCCAAGTAACAGCCAAGGGACATTATTGAACATTTACTAATTAGTATAAAATAACAAAACAATTCCTAGTGTGATTTAGTTTATTTTCATTGTGAATTATAAATTGGTCTCAGAACACCATTCAAACTCCAGAATTATTATGAACACAAGAATTCAGCCACCACCAAGGACATCATTTTCAGTGTGACAGGACTGAAACTTACTGAAAGAACTTGAAAGCCTTGACTGTGGCTCCTGAGCTGGCAAAAAGCCTCCTGAGGTCATCCTCCACCACAGAAGGCCTGAAAGCAAGAAGAGGAAAACAAAGAATAAACACTGAGTATTTTTGTGGGTTTACATTTTCTTGACTTATTTGCATTTATTTACTGGTATGGAGAGACAAGACACGAGAGGCATCATTAAATCTAAAAATGCACCTCTAGAGTAGCATGTTTAGAAAATATTGTCACAACTACTAAACCCCAAACACTAAATATATATATATATAAAAAAGTCAAGACTACAAAGGAAAAAGCTTAGAGCACAAAAGCTGCTGGGGAGAGCAGGAATGAAAATTAGGGCCTTTGCAGCAACACTCACGGTATGTTGGAGAGGTGGAGCGTTGCAGAGGGTGGGAAGATGTTGGAGTAATTTTTGGAGCCAGGCTTCTTGAAACGGTGCAGCGGTGAGTTGCTGTAGTCTTTTGTGAGGCCCTGGTCCTCGTGGCCTTCTCTGGGCAGCTGCACTGTGGTGTGCTTTGAAAATGCCACACGCATGTCCCTGCCATGAAGACGCTGGCCATTCAGGTGGCTCATAGCTGGGAAACAATAAAAAGTCAGCACTTGTTTTTAAGAACACCACATAAGACTGACTTATGACACATTCTCTCTTTTTTGCAAGCACAGGTGTACTGTTCCATGTTAACTGGACATTTAAATAGTTGGGCTTTGACAGAAACTTTTAAATTATATTAACAAAAAGGTCCACTGAGGTTAATTTAATACATTTTAAAATCAATTCCATCTTTAGCCTCCTGATACATATGCATTCACATCACGTTTCTGAAAATATTTTCTGGATACTTCTAGTGCAGGTATGAAACAAATCAAATGTAAACGTAATCAAAAGTAAATAATCTGAAACCAGGCAATCAGTCAAGCCCTGTTCTGTTTGCTTAGTTGAGGCCCACTAGGTAAAAGGCTCAAAACACTGTATGGTAAAATGATGTGAGGCAAAAACAAGATGAAAGAAAATGACAGATCAAAGAAAGCAAATAGTGTTTTGCAGAGCTGGAGTGTACCTACCTAGCTGAGCCTGTGTGCCATCAGACATCTGGATCAGAGCATTCTCCTTTTTATTGAATAGGATCTTCACTCTCATCACATCGCCATACACACCTAAGAAGGAAGAAGATGGTGTCACAATACAAGTGCAACGAAGACCCACAACCTTAACAGGAGCCACACAGCCAATCACAGCAACAAAAACACATTAAAACCATCAAATCAGGGGCATGAATATTCATGTTACTAAATGAACACCGGATGATTAATAAGTAATTGCACGGCTATTCTAGTAAATTATTGTTCAGTTCTGCATCTCTAAACCTAATCCTACTTTAGCCCTCTTAGATAACAATTACACAGATGCCAAGAGCTAAAATTGGTTATGCTTAAGAGGGAGGTAGTGATTTGAAGGCAAAATCAAAAAGGGGAGTAAAATGAGTGGTTCTGATCTGTTTGAACGATCTACAGTGAAGAAAAAGTAGAATTTCTTGACCAACTTGAGGGCTTAATAGAGAGACATGCAGGAATAAACTAAACATGCACATACCCACATTAGAATACTGAGACAAACTGCAAAGGAATAATATGGTGACATAATCCGAGGGATATGTCAACTCACAATCACTAAAAAAAAAAAAAAAGCAGCAGCATTTCATTTTTCTATGTACTGTTGCTGATTGACTCAAGGCAACCACAAAAAAAATATAACCTAGCAAAAATGAAATTTGATGAATTTTCATGGCTTAAAATTGGACCGTGCGGAACCAAATAAAGTGTTGACTTTTATCCTCTTCCTGAGGGCGATGTTTTAGAATTTAGATCGGCTTCCCACCTCATTCCCAAACAAAATGATCCCTTCATTTCTATTTAGAGGGGCAATATTTCCATTGAGGGGCTGTGCTCTTTGAAGATAAAAAAAACTGCAAATGTTTTTTGCCCATGGATAGCAACCACTGCTATTACAAATTAAATGAAATGCTGCAGCTTTGTGTGGTGTTCTCACCTTACTTTCCTCACACAAACCCACAACAACCAAAACAGGTCATACAAAACCCAAAACAACCGACACCCCCACCCTTCATAGCCCTGTAGCCTGATGACGAGCCATCAGTGGTTAAAAAAACAAAGCCAACAACATGAGACAAGACATGCCCACCTTGCGAGGTAACAGTAGTAATAAAAAAAGGAGATGAAAGGATGATAACGTACCGAAAAGAATAAAGAGGCAGTGTGGCGTAACGCTCTTTAGAGACAGCAGGGGGAGCAGCGGGGCAGGGGGCCAAAGGGGGATAGGGAACAGGGGACAGGGGAAAAGAGACGGAGCGGAGTGGAGGACAGTGGAGTGGAGTCGGGACATGTCCGCAGGCCACAGGCAGCGAGGTCCACAGGAAGGCCACAGTACCATGGAGGAAGGAGAGGCATGAGGGACGAAGAGAATGAGGAGAGGACAAGAGGAGGAGAGGATTCAAACAGCATGAGAGAGGAGAAGAGAACAGACGAAGATGAGGTGGAGGAGAGAAAGAAGATAGTGGAAGGACAGATGATGATCAGGGAGAGGTGCCAATGTTGTGTTTTTGTTGTGTTTTCAAATTTGTGGGTGATGTGGTGGTGTCCAAATTGGGGACATGGAATTGGGGAGAAGGAGGGTTTGGTGGTTTGGAAGGAGGAGTGAATGTAGTAGTAACAGAGGAGTGGCAGAGGGGAGAGGACAGAAGGAACAATTGGTCGTGGGGCGTGCAGTCAGTTGGCAAGAGTTGAGGTCAAGGGGTTTTAAAACAAAAAAGAGGGAGAGGGGGACAGAGAAAGAAGAGAGAGAAAAAGGAAGTAAAAAACAAGGTCAGTATACACAAAGAAATGTAGTGCTTCAGACAGTAGAACTGGCTAAATTAAAATGCACTGTCACTATGGGAACACTAGGAGAAAAAGAAGAGAAAAAAAGATTAACAATGAAATACAGAAAAAGGCAGAGACAATATGTACTTTTAAAATTACATACTATGTTTGTTTAGATTATTTAAAATTACAATATAATAAAACAGTCAAATGTGAATATCAATTTTTATAATCCTGTTCCAACTTAAAAGCTGATCTTAAAATTAACATGCTTAAAGCAATGACTACATAACTACACTAAATGTAATGAATGTGACAGACTAATTATACATTCTAAAAAAATAAAAAAAAACCTTGAATCACGGACATGATGTGTTTCTTTAAAAAATACAAATAAAAAGTAATATTGTCTCTCCAACAACTCAAGAATGATTTCAACTAATGGACAAAAATGAAGATATGAAATGGTAAGTTTTTAAAAAAAGAAGTTAGTGTTTTGAATAAACTTAAAATTCACAGTGAGCAAAGTGGCAGGTCAGAAATGCAGCAGGTTTGGTCAAACACAGAGAGGTCCTGAAAGAGAAGAGGTTTTGACTCGATGACCCCCTTTTAATTAAAAACACTGGTAAGGGTACTCCAACTAATCTGATCACATGGAAGTGATGGGAAATGTGGGACAAAACACTGGAGCTCTTGAATAAATGGTCCAGGTCCACGAACCATTGTGTAAAACAAATGGCACTGTAACATTGTAACTTTTTTAGCACTGCACTGATAGAAGCAGGTTGTAGAACTGTTTAAGCCTAGTGAGAGTACTGACCTCAGGGTTCAGATTGCTGACCAACAAGACATTGTGTCCGGCAGAGGGAGCGAGCCCTGACAGGCCCAGACGGCTGCTGCTGCAGCCGCCATGCCACTGTGGCTCACACCGAGGGATGCCAAGGCACTGGGCATACCAGGCACCGACAGACCTAAGAGGGACAAAATATGAATTACTTTATGTTTTTCTTCTCGTCATAGAACTCAAGATCTGGTAAGAAGGGAATAAAACGGGGAAATACATGAGTGTTAACATCAAGGCCAATTAAATAATGTACTGACAGGCACATATTTAGAGAAGGAATACAGATCTCATAATGGAACAGAGAAGGTTTGTTTACTGACCGGTCTGTTGGATGGCAAAGGTTGGGGGGAAGCCATGGGCTCCACCATAGGGAGAGGCTGAGATTATGCCTGGTGCAGCTGGGACAAAAGGGCAACAAACAAAACTAAGAACACAAACTCCATGAAATGTGTACTTGACATAATGATTTAAAGTAAAACAAAATGCAAATGAACTCAAAGCAGAAAATGCTCAGAAATTCTGGACTATGTATATACAAGCTTGTTAACATACATAGATGTGATTGGATCTTTAAAAAAAAAAAAAAAAACCTTCTTTGAATTATACCAATCTTACCAAATGCAGCAGCTGCCATGGTCTGGTGGTCAAGGGAGGCCTGTGAATCCGCATTGGGGAGGTCTGGTCGGGTGTAATCCCTGCTCTTGTCATTGTTGTACTTGACATTAAGGCTGGTGAGCTTGGAGAAACTGATTCTCAAGGTACAGCAGGCATTGTAGATGTTCTGTCCATCCAGAGACTGAGACAAATATTGGAGCATTAGGCTTATGACAATGCATGCGATGTGTTTTACACAGTTGATTTTAAAACCAGTTTCATGTTTGATCAATTGGCTCAACACTCTGTACTGTAGCTGCAATGTTGTTCTTTAAATTTGTCGTGTGCATGTCATGCAATCACAATTCTACTTAAAGGTGACGAAGCACCCAGTTACTTAATAGTAAACAAGCTCAAAAGGAAACATCATGACAAAGAGCATTAGTTGTACCAGTCTTACCAGTTTGGCGTGCTGAGCGGTCATGCTATCGGCATACTGGATCAGAGCCTGGAACTGGTTGTTCTTTGTGAAAGTGATGATCTTCAGCACAGTGCCGAACTTAGAGAAAATCTGGAGAGGGGAGACAGACCGATTAAGGATGACATCATGACAACACACTTTCTCACTAATTTTCATTGTAACTGTACTGGAACATTAACCAAGGGAATACATTTGCATATCTCTCTTTAATAACCAACATGCATATTTATAACATAATGAGAACAAGAAAAAAAGAATAGGAAATGGCAACAACAATGAAATAGGTATAATTATAGTTGTATAGGTGATTGGCTGTTATAGCAGTCAAACTATATCAGTCAAAATGTGTCTACGGGCACAGTACAGTCTAATTTTACACATTAAGTACAATTGAATAAGAACAGGTAGATATGCTTTAGTAACTGATGGCAGTTGTTACAATTCATTATATAATAGTGTCACTTTAAAGTCTACACCCAAAACGCAAGGTTTGTTTAAAGATTTAAAAACAGGAAGCCTATAATATGTGATGCTCAAACAAAAATCTGTGAGACAATTAGGTAACTGTAGACTACAAAAACCGCCTCTACCTGATGTAGTACATCCAGGGTGACAGGGTAGAAGAGGTTTTCCACGATGACCCTGAGGACAGGGCTTTGGGCTCCTCCTCCAGCCATGCTACTTGCATCTGCAGAAATGGCCATGCTTCCCATCCCACCTCCATGCAGAGCATTGACTGCCTGCAGAGCTGCCTGTGCACGCTAAGGAAAAATAACAGAGGAACTTCTTAGCATGGACATGGAAAGTATACAGTGATAAATGAAAGAGTGAATGTGGCAATTCTTTTTTGCCGTATCTTTGACATGAAAACCTGAGTGTGCGTGTATTTTGACAAGCACTTACCACTTGGTTGGGGGAGTTGTCCGTCTTGAGCTCCTTATGGGTTGAGTACTGCATGTAAATGGGGTGGTTTCTGATGACAGGGGTGACAGAGGAGTAGTAGCTCACCATCGTCTGTGCACACTCCTCGCTGTTCAGTTCCAAGAAAGCCTGCAAGGGAGGACCAACATATTCAATTTGTTTCCTCCATCACATAATAGAAAGGTCCCACTCAAGACAATATGTATTAAGAATTCTTTATTTAATTGTGTACTTATATTCATTGCTATCAACTGTTTGCTTATTTTTTTAGATTTGACACTTTCATTGGTTTCGACACAGAAGTGCAGGTAACAGAAAACAGGAGATAATAAAAGACATTCAAGAGGATTGTCTTCCTCCAGGACATCTCAGCAAGTAGAATTTTCATCCTGCCCACTAAACCACGTGAATGTGACAAAAGGGGCCTTGTCATAATTTTCAGGTCAGGAAACAAGGCTAGACAGCTGATCCCTTGTCCCAGGCCTAAAGAGAAATCTTACCCAGGAATGCAAGACATACAGGTTTGGTGAGCAGACCTGCATATATCAGTCCTTACCTGGTTTTTCCCTTTCAGCATCAGCAGATTAGTGACCTTCCCAAAGGGCAGTCCCAGTCCAATAACCTCCGCCTCATTTATGTCGTTGGGCAGCTTGCGTACATGGACCACACGTGACGGAACACCAGGACTGCGGACGTCACCTTTGAATTTTTTGGTGTCGTTGCCATTGGCTGCGAGAAAAAAAAACAGAAGCAGATACAATCAGGGAGGGAACAGAAGGCTCTGGTTCTTCTTGAATAATGGATTGATTGTCATGGCAACGCAAACACAGACACGACAAGCACTTCAATAAAAAGGATTCAACCCTCCATGGCAACCCCCCTACCTGAGTTCATGATATAGGGCCCGTTGGATATGCAAGAAGAAAAGAGTTCGTCGGATCCCCTCTGCAGAAGGAGAGAAAACAATGGTTCACTTCAGTGCATTCACCAATGAGGGCACAGCATGGCAGGTGGAGAGCACAGCTCTCATATTACACAGCCATTGTGTGATAAAGCAGGAAGTAATCTGATAACCAAAAGAGGATTGAGCAAATACGCATGAGAAGAACTCCACCTTCCTCACCAGGAAGAATTAAGTGGCCTAGCTCCTGAGCAGGATATTTGACTTGCAATCAAACATCCCTTTCCATTTTATACTCTTCTTTAACGGCACTGCGTCGTTCAAAACCTTAAAGTCACAGGTCATTATTTGACTTGAGGCAATGTGCCAAATGATCATGTTTTACTGACAATCACACTCAAGGAGCAGTACAGCAAGTCAGCAGATGTCAGTACAACTCATCTTCTCATAACTCAGTATTAGGGGGATGGATACCATGCTGAAATCCTCTGAATGGGAAGACAACATGGAGATACTCCTATCCCACACTAGTTCACTGTCTGCTGTAACAGCCTTGTCTGTCCTCTCGCGCTCTCTTTAGTAGTTATAAAGTGCTGTTTCAGGGCTGTGTGTGTGTTTGTGGTTGTGGGAGATGAAGTATAGCAGTCACAAGAAGTGGCTCAGCAGCCTAAGCTCTACAACACTCTACAATGAAGGTCCTGTTCAGGCTGAGACTAGGAGCATTGTTACACGGCGGCACACACACATATGGAGCCCCAAGGACACTCTGGGATTTGAAGAGCCCTGGAGCGCTTTAACAACAACCAGTCATGCAGGTTTGCTAGCATTCTTCTCCACCTTGTGAATCGTGGCCTTTAAATGTGCAAGGTGTTGGGGGTTTCCAGTCGGGCTACAATGTCTACTCATGAAAAGGCAGGAATGAGGTTATCCAAGAGAAAACATTTGGTGGGGCCTCTAAACATTGTGAAGGGGGGGTGCGGGTTACTGAGTTAGTCGCTCGGAGAGAACAACAGTGTAAGCAGTAGTATAAACTAACCTTTGGCTTCCAGATGGCTTGGCCGAGTCGGTCACTCTCACTCTGGCCCACACAAACAGCGTCTGCTATCTCAATTCATCAACTTTTAAGCAACAAGACACATTCCACTGTCTTTATTGAGGTTTCGCGATCAGGGGGACCTACTTTGGCCAAAGTTCAAATCTCTGCATAAATGATGCAAACATGCCGGCACTCAATTAAAATTAAGACTCACAATGAATTGCAAGACAACCTCTGACAAGACTCAAAATGACACATGGAACTGGTTAAGCATGGGATGGATCCATTTAAAAAAAAAAAAATGGGAGTGGCTAGTTGGATCCTGGTATTTGGAACATATCTAATAATAAAATTTAAAAAAACAACATAACACAGTGTAAAACAACAAGAGGCTTGCATTACAGAGTGGTGTGTTCTAGTTGGTGGGAAGCAACACAGTATTTTAGCTTGATGAATGTGCCAAGGGCAGATGCAAGCCATGAGAAACGAAGGAAGTGGCTCCAGCCTGACTCAATAGTCGTGGGCGGGCAGTGTCACATTATCAGTCAGCAGACCAACTCCAAACAGGAAGAGCAAAAAGATCAGGCCTGCTTCCAGGGCTTTGCTAAACTTCCTCCTGGGGACTGATGGTTACTGTTCCATAGCAGGACTTGCTTTCTCTCTCTCTCTCTCTTCCCCTACTTCCTCATTCTAATAATAACCACAGAGCTAAGACAGTCTACAGTCAGAGCAGAAACCTCAAGTCACACACAGAGGAGTTCAATATTGCAATTGACTGAAGAAAAAAAAAAAGCCTATAGTTTTTGTAGGGAGTGTGGTAGAGAGTGCAGGGCAGCACAAAAGGAACGTTTTGGTTAGAAAGCCGATGGGAGAAAAACAGAGTTCTAATGGTTTGTTAGTTGACTCCAACACAGCGCCAAACCCATTTTTACAACACAGGCCCACTAAATGTGTATCGACTTGTTCACATCCTTTGTTTGCTCAGGATGCTGACAGCATAATAGTAACCTTCAGGAGACGATGACACATTATTGGCCCGCATACTGAAACTGTTGAGCAGCTTTACAGACAATGGCCGACCTTGAACTCAGTTTTAAAAAGTGAACATGGACTGGAGGCAATTTCCTTGCTTCATCACACCTGGTTTTCATTGCATCAAAAAGGAGGAAACAGAACATGTTATCTCCAACTTTAAAGCAGCGTTTGGAGAAGATTTTATATGGAAGCTAAATCTGAGACGATTCATTCGTTTTGGCATCTTCAAACAACTTTTTTTTTTGGGGGGATTTCGCTAGCGGTTGGGGGTGTGTGATCTCTCAGGAAAAGCACAAAGGAGGGCAGCACAGGTACAGACATGTTTGTTCACTGTGATCAGCCGTTGCCAGTGGAGGGGGCAGGGAGCTGTGCCTCACCGGGGGGCTCGAGGGGGGGAGATTGGAATGTGACCGCGGAATGCCAGACGCTCTGCCCAGACGGAATAATTACAGATTCCAGCGAGGCAGCGCTCCATAACTCAGCATCATCGTTACCACAACGCATCAGATCCAGAAAACAGGAAAAGTTACAGAAGAAAGAATGACACCGGGAGTCAAATCCTCCACGCCGACAATCACCCATTAATTTCTGCATTGTTAACATGGTGAAAAGGCCTTACTAAAAAGAATGGAGGGGGTGGGGTGTGTCCGAGTTCTTGTTTAAACAGTGTTAAGACCTTTGCCCGGGGAGGATGATGATGATGACTGTTGCGGGCGAATGGTTACAGCCCTAAGTTCAATTACCCCCCCCTACACATAGCTGCCCCAGGCCCCGTCACCAAGGATTACTACTCGAGCAGGTATTTTTATTGGGGACACAAGTTAAAAACCAGCAGTTTTCCAAACAAGTGTTCCCACTTCAACAAGTTTGTACACACCATTTGCAAACAGTAGAGAAGAGCTACTGTTTGAGTTACAGAAGCATACAAAAGCTTCCTCATCACTGACATTTAATCTTCAGAGCAGATTCATACAAAAAAAGGTGAGTAACATCGGACAATACTTTGCTGGTTTGTTTTATTGGTGCTGGCTGAGTCGTCTTGTGACAGAAATGAGATTGGATAAACATCAAGCACTGGAGCAGGATTCAGCTGCTTTCTTAACATTCCAGTAAGGCCAACTGGCTATTAAGGAGCACGCAAAACAAACAACAGGAAGTTTCATTTCCCAAATAGCCACACAACCCAACAGAAACGAGACAAGAAAACATAAAGCCCCACCTAAGATAATCTATTCTAATTGAATTATCAAATATTCCATGTCCACAGTCTGTCACAGTTGCTGCAACCTCTATGTGCTGGCCATTCAGTTGTATATCATAAATCTTTAAAAAGGAGAGCCGGTCTGCGACTGCAAACTCATTACACATGAGAAATGGCTTTGGACAGCAGTTCTGTAATTATAGAGGAAGCTCCTGCAAGCTGACAGACTATGTTATTCAAGTCCCCAATGACGGCACAGTTCTTTTCCATTTCCACTCCGACGTGTAAAAAAAGTCTCAAAACCTGTGTTTCCTAAAAATTAATTGAGCTGCAGTGGGACAGAAAAAAATCCTGCCACAGTTAGAACAATTTAAATACAACCGAGACTCATTATCTAATATCAAAGCTACTTTGATAACAAACAAGGTAATGCTAATTACAACACAAATATCTATGTTTAATAAGGCTATACATGACTAAATATGAGAACTACAACACCTATTGGACCTTTAAACTGATAAAACAGCCAATGGGTATCACAATCAACACCTCCAACAAATGTACAATTACAGTAAGTCAAGAGTTTTACAAAAACTACACATTTTATTCATGCTGCAGTCTGGACAGGGAAACTGAAAGGAGACAGGGCTGCAAAGAGAAAATGGTTTTAAAAATTGCCTACCTTTGTGCCAACTGATATGTCATGGACACTGCTGTAAAAAGAGACAGAAAGATCACAATTATACAGGAAACCAAAGAACATTTAAGCATAATCCATCACGAAATCCTGTTAACAAGTGATCACAACAGCACATCCTGCACTCTGGAGAAACACAGCCCTTACGAAATGAAGGATATAGTGCTGTTCAACCAAACGCAAAAAAAAAAAAAAAAAACAGGACTTCCTCATTCAGCACATTTACGAATATTAAAATTCAGGAAAGCACCGAACAATTCGACAAAAATACTTACTCAATTTCAGGGACGTAGCCGGCTCCCAGAGGGTACAAGTCAGCGTCTAGGCGGCTGTAGTGGGTTGGCAAAACATAAGAGCAAAATTCAGAAGTGGTAAAGAAACAAATCTACAATTACAATTTTAGTTAAAACAAAAAAAAAAAACAACGCAACATCCCCGCTGCATTTGAAAGTGCTGCAAACTGTCGGATTCAGGTGAGCAAAAGACCAACGCTTGATAGAAACAACGCACTATTGTGTATCCTACCCTGTTTAGATAACCCAGTATAGAAGTCTCTCTTTCCCCCCCCACCCCCCAAACTCGGTTGAATCAACGTGAAATGTTCAGGCCAGACATCTTCAACATGGCCCTGGCACTCCGCAGACAAATGAATGCGGAAATGAGACACGTTGCCTTAGCTAGCGCCGTGAAACCAAGTTAACGTTACCGAAAAGGTGCAGTTAGCCAACGGTAACCAACGTCTTCGTCAGCAAAACGAAGGGAGATTCGCCAGTATTTTTAACAATAAAAAAAACAAACAAGTCTGTTCCAATCTTGGCTCTTTATTAAAGTTACGTTTGCTTAGCGTTTGTCCAGTTAACGAGGAGAAAAAAAACGATTAAATAAGTCCGTTTAAACAACCAACGTTTGTTAGCAGCAGCGACGGTTAGCGGCTAACGCTCCGGCTAACTGTTGCATGTTTTGATGGAAAAAAAAAAAAAACTGTTTCAAAACTTTCCCGGTCTAACGGTGAAGTGAAACAGCCCCTCGGAGTCAAATCGTTTTAATAAGCGACCCAGCTGTGAAAATGAAGCACTCAACGGTCGGTTTGCCCGAATAAAATTAAGTCTTAAGTGTCGTTGTTTTTCACTTACCCGTCCATTGCACAAGAAAAAAACTGCAGGTCTGAAGCGAAGGTAGGGCGGCAGACTTGCTTGATTTTCTTACAAAATGGCTGAACACACGGAGGCGAGCGCTGATTAGTCCAGGCACTTTCAAGAGCCAAAAACAGGCGGGGACAAGCTTCTACTTGAGTCGCGATTGGACAAGACGACCATCATTTTGTGAAAAAAAGAAGGCCGCGGCAAATTTCCAGTATACATCGCACATCGAGTGGCTTTATTTTTTGATTGAGTGTTCGGCGATGAAAGGGGGGAATTGAGTCGTCATGTTGATTGATTCAGGTTGTGGTTGTTTTTACTGTTTTTTTCTCCTGTATAGTGTTTATGTTATATTATATTATATTATTTTTTTATACTGTTTTTTTCTCTATCCACTTTGCTGCTGTAAGATTGGAATTTCCCCATTGTGTGACTATTAAAGGAATATCTTATTTTATCTTAAGTAAAAGAATCCTGTCGAGTTTGTTCATAAAGACTAGACAAAAGGGAGAAAAGTAGGGAATCGCAGTTAACTAAATGGGCTCTTATAATATTTTATAAAAACCTGTGTTGTGCCCTGTTTAAAAGAGCAGTGGTGGAAGCTGCATTGAACTCCTTTACTTTGAATAAAAATAGTAATACTACAGTTTAAAATACTCTATTACAAGTAAAAGTCCCACTCTCAAAATCATACAGAATCAGTTTAATGTAGGCCTACTAATGCAGAAACATGTGGGTGCCATACTGTATTTTATTCCCTTTTTTCATGGCAGTTTTTGTGATATGCGATAATATGTAAATAGCATTTTTATTTACATGGATGAGATGGAATCAGTACTACTTTATATAGCCTACTATTGGGTAGATTAATCTACAATAGATCATATCTCAATAAGATCCTCATGTGTTTTGTATGTATAATCTTAATCTGTATAACTAGCACATTAAATTGTCAGATAAATGTGTATGTATGTACAATACTTGAGTAAACGTAGCCTACTTAGTTTAATTGATTTCACCGCTATATGAGAAAATTCACAAAGGATTTGGAGAGTTAATAATGTGAGTATACGAGGTAACCTTCATCCCACGCTGGTCATCAAGTGTTGGAAGGATCTAGTTTTAGCTGTCTTTGGTGGAAAGGGAATTCTACTCCCACCTACACAGAATCGTAGATACTCATCATGACCAGCACTTTGTGTATATTCAAATGCAAAGATGGGTTTGAAGTAGTTGGATTCAGGGCACAGTTTTATGTGCTGTAGCCCCCACCCCAGTACTGTGGTGTAAACAGTACTGCTTTTGGTGGGGTGCAACACAATGGAAGTGATAATTGCCCTGATACTGAGGTCTCTTTGCACAATAAGTATTGTGTCAGGAAGAGATCCTCTAGATAACAGGCCTTCTCTGCAAAAGGTTCTGGAGTGACAACAAAAGAAGGAGACATCTATATAAATATAAGGCAGTGAAGGGTCCAGAAGGAGGTCGGCAACATAAGATTAAAGTTAGGTTCAGCCCAATTACACACTACTTAAAGTAGGTAAGCAACCAACAGAGGTATCCGCACACTAATCAACCAGAATGGGTTGAACATGCATTATTAAAAATTAATGAACTGCTATCACTGCTGAGGGAAGCAAAACATGACAACCCTCCCTATAGAAGGCAATGTGAACAGTCATAAAGAAAGAGGTCTAGCAGAGAGCTGTTTTTCTCCTAATTTATTTTGCTTCCTACTGCTTCACAATCAACACAAAGGCAGCAGCACATACTGGCGTGCTAATTTATACGAAGAGGAAGAAAGGAAGACCTTCGTATAAAGAAACATACAATTCTTTAGGTCATACAGTCTAGGGCTTGTGGTTTGTATTATTGTTTTGGAAATTGAATTGAGCTGAATGATATGGTGTCTTAAAATATAAAGTTGATGAGTAACACAAACCCAGATAAAGTGGTGGCTTATTGTCACATGTGTGAATAAGATGTGTTTTTACTATAATTTGTTCCTGGAAAATATGAGCCATGCACAGCAGCTGGTGCTGAAACAATGTTGCACCATCAAGGACTACATGTTGATTTCAACTGTTTCCCACAAGCATTCAGAAAAACCAAGTTATTTCGGGGTGAATGAGGTCGTATTTTAAAGGATGAGGAGTTATATTGTTTCATTACATTATGTTTCTGTGTTCATCCTAATCTGTGTCTCACACTGGGGTAGTTGAGGCTCGCATTTAACAAACTAATGACATTTGAAAGGTAATTACTGGAGCCTTTGCAATTACTGGAAAGCTAAGCAATTAGATTTAGCATTGCCCTCACAGGGCTGATTGGGATGATTTCTGTGTTGGGACTTCTTACGCTAGAAATGGAATTCTATTTTTTACCTTTCAGATCTGTTTTAAATTAATACTTCCATTCCTTTTTAATTTTATTTCCAATGACTTTTTATATTCCACTGGTCAAATCCCACACAGTTGTGTTTTTCTTCCGTGTTTGTATGTGTGTGTGTGTGAGAGAGAGAGAAAGAGAGTATGGAAAAGCATTGTCATGGGTGTGACCTAAAAACATCACACAATACATTCAGTGTCCCGTGATGTGGAACACTTCTGCCACTTCTATTAAATGGTAAAATGTGTCTATGGCTGAGTGTGCCACATTCATACTGGGCTCAAGAGAAATTATTTACTGGAGGCAGAACTGCTGCAGCCTAAAGCAATATAATTATAGCTGTTCTCTCAAATAGTGCATACCTGACCTCCCTCTGATGAATGCCTTGTTTAAATGCCCCTCTTTGTCTCCCTAATTACCCCCACCCCCATGTCTCTCTCTTTCACTTTACCTTGTATTTGACAATTTGGAAACAAACTTCCAAAACATTAGACGTATGCTCTCTAGTGGTATGTTCTGGGTAGTGCACTTCAGTACCCCAACCAATTCACATATATAGTTTGAGTGATGCTGAAATCACATTTATGCTCATTATGCAGTACTATTGGTGGAACTATTCTTTGTAAATGTTTTATGTTTCCACCCTGTCTTAAATATCTCTCCTCAAATCACACCTCTGACCTTATACTTCTACATTATTCATTCTCCATAAACGAGGGGTAGTTCAATTGTGTATTATTTTGTCACTTTTACAGTCCAATTGCATTAGTCATATAACAAATGGATGGTTTATCTGCATATAATTGTGTGTACTTCTCCCCAGAAGGGTGTCCTGCGCCCATCTGTGACTCCATCAGCTAAGATGCCAAAACCACACACATCATTAGCCATGGCTTGTGTGTATGCTTCTATCTGCAGTATGTGTACATTTGGTTAATTACATACACACTTATCTGACTTGCCGTAAACAAACAGTAGTTTTATTCAAGATTAAACATTTAGACGACCACAGAATAGATGAACAGGCATTGGTTTAACACAAGGCTGCTTTTTCTGCTGCTGTCCCAAAGACCCACTTTTAAGCAAAGCTTTAGCTTAACAAATTTACATGTATTTCTATGTATACAGATGTATGTCTATATGCCTATAGATATGCACACATACTGCATATACATGTATACACTGTACATAAATACATAGACTGTCAGTTAGTCTCCTGCATAAAGTTTGTATGCCAGCAAAATGTTAACCTGGGTGTGGTTTCTTGTATGTGTAGAGTTTTTTCAAGACATCAATGGTACTCTGCATATTACCTATTGTTTGAGCTGCATTTATTTATAATGTGGAAAATTGGTAATATATTCTATTATAGTAATGTTGTGACCCTCTAGACCAGAAGGCAGTGTTTCCAGTGGGTCATCATGACCAGGAGCAGAGCAAGAAAAACCCCGGTCTAAAAAATGGCAGCAGACAGACAAGTCCAACCAACTGAACCTGACAAAGGCACCAACAATACACAGATGTAATCTCTTTTTTTAAAAATACACACATCAAATACAATATACTGCCTTGCAAAGAGGCAAGAAAGAAGAGGAGGAAAGAAAAACATGAGAGTCAATATAAGAAACAAAATTGCAAATTGTACAATTACAGTGGAACTGTACATATGGAAAGCATAGACTATATTTCATCTGTCCACGCCTGCTGACCTCCCTTTGGAATGTTAGAGGGGATCATTTCTCTGGTGGTAAATGTAGGCAGGACTTGAGAGAATGCATCTGGCACTGAAGGTTGCAAAAGTGTATGCAAGAGGCAGTAGATTTCCACAATCCCCCCTCACCAGTGATTTGAGTAAGACAGAGGGAATAGAAAAAAAAGAAAAGTTGGTGGATGGAGAGTGTTAGACGAGACTCAGGATTAGCACCAACTTCAGAGGTTTTTGAACTGCGTGTCTCCGAGCATAGAAGGTGGGGCTGTGTGAATTTGACAACAAGGATGAAAACAGTGTGACGATGAGATGATGGTGATGGTGTGTGGGTGAATCAGAGGCATGGGTGAGCCTGGGGGGGGAGTAGAAACATTGGTGGAGTTGGATCATCGACCAAGACCGTCAATGGCTTCTACTGAGCCAACATTTATTTCAATAGGCTTTCAGGGCTTTGAATCGATATATTGTATATGCACGATTTGTCTTGCTAGCGACATGCAGTTTTAAAAGGGTTGACTGGTTCTTCCTCTAGAATATGGCCTATTTTTAATACAATATTTACTGAAAAGCTTGGGTACCTGGGCACAACTAAATACTCTACATTGTTGTCTTGCTGGAGAGATTTAAGGTCCCCAGAGAGCATCTTAATTTGTGAGAAAAGTCTATTCAGATGCCCTACCTCTTTGTCTTTTTCTGTACTATTGGGCCCCAGGTCTACGGACAAAAAGTCAGGGGTTAAACTGGGAGCGAGCAGGACAGAAACCAGCAGCCGACCAACACAGTGAAATTACAGTATCATCAGATTTTATTTGGTTCATAAAGAGACAAAAAGCGTTTTTTTTTTTCCTTTACGGTGAGCTTAGCAAGCGCGCCTCTTCTCATCATTGTAGAGCGAATCCCAATTTAACCCCTGGATTTACATTCATGTGAACGTGATAGCGTATAATAAAGACCTAACAAGTGACAAGACAGTCAAAACAGTTGCAAGGCTTCATGCAGTGCTACCTCATAAGATTTACATTGATTCTACTGTTGTGAGAGCAAAATTATTTAAGCATTTCTAATCATTGTGCAATGGTCTGTCATGACTCTATGATGATAAAGTAAGTGTATCCATCTTATTTAAAAAATACAAAAGCTGTGATCTTCATGTACATGTGTCACATATAGTATCTATGAGAAGCTAATGTGATTTGTAATATGTTCACTGTTCTAATTAGCCTCATTGTCTCCGTGCGGATTTCTTTTAAAACTTAATGCACATCTCTAACACTGCCAATTATTATGAACTGTTACTGATAGAAAGACTTGTGTGACTAAAGATTTAAGCACATATGAGTCTAAGAAAGCACAGACACTTGTAATGATTGTAACGCAAATCTGGTAGTGCTTACAAGCTTACATGCAGTTAATGGTTGGAGATGATATAGAGAACCAAAAACAATAAATACATTGTATAAAACATAATTTCATATCAATATATTAAAATACTATTTAAAATAATATCTTAGACAATATTGCAATATGAAATTGACCGATAAATAGTTGGTAGGCCTACACAGAGAAATATATATATTTAAGTATCTGTGTCCTTCATAGCTTGCTGTTTTGACTTAAATGATTTAAAGTTTCCAGATTTTCCCGGTGGGTAGCAGTACAATCCAGAGAGCTAATACATTTTCTTTTTTCCCAACAATAATAACAATGAACTTACAGTACACAGTCCCATAATAAAGATATACATACTGAATACAATATAAATGTCAAGACAGAAAAATAGAAAAATATCAATAGAAATCAAAAGTCAAATACATATCAGAGAAAGTATACAGAGTAAAGTGTACTTATGAGTCTGTGGTTCTTGTTGTTGTAGCTGGAGCTTGTATTGGCTCTCATTGTTGGTATATTGGCTGTGTAGCTGTACTTCGGTTTTTTGTTTTTTTCCAGTCCTGCACCACAACACACACACACACACACACACACACACACACACGCACTCCCACACAGCACACCCAAAAGGTTACACACATCTGCAAAATACCCCCCCCTGACACATGCAATTTTGGGCACACATGCCTTGGCACAGGAGCAGGGCTTGGTGCACTCACCCCCACACACACACCACACACTCGCCGACATACACATGCACACACAGCTCACATGACCGTGCAGCATTTGCAGGTCTGTTTCTTCTCCTTTTCCTTCTCTCCATCTTCTCCACCTCCATTGGCCTTTTCTTTCTCCGCCATGCTCCCGTTGGGTGGAGCCTGCTCTTCTGTGGCTCCCTCCCCTCCCACTTTGCCCTCCCCATCCTCGATCACAACAAACTCAGCCTTGACGTTGCCATCTACCCCTTCCATTCCCAAGGCTGTGCGGGTCTCCGTCTCCTCTTCAACGGTCTTGTAGCCCATGAACACAAGGGTAACAGGGTTGTCTGCGCTAGCCTGGTCAGGACTGGGACCCAGCAGCTTGGCCTCAATCCCTGTCACCTCTCTCTTGGGGGTCTGACCAGAGGTCTGCACTACTCCATTTTCACCTATAGGGAGCACCAGAGTATCATTGAGAGGTTAGAAGAGTGCAAAAAAGAAAGAGGGTGGTCAGGGTATGTCAGAGACAAAGAAAGAAAGGAAATATTGTTTCAATTACCTCCGGAGGAGAGGAACAATTTAATAGCGCAAATGAAGAGGCCATTATTAGCTCAGTCCCTCTTTCTGACACAGGTGTTCAGGCTGTGTTGCCATGGTTTTCTGTGAGATCATATGTTGCCATGGGTACTGAACTTACCTCCATTTTCTTTAACCACACCTTTATTGGCTGGCACGTCTGTCTCCAGTTCTTCAATCTCTTGCTCCAGCCTGACTCAGAAACACACATACATGGAAATTAATTAAAATTAAGCTGTAATTTCTTTACACCACATTGACTATAATATATCTATGGAGTGAAACGTTGTGTATGTGACCGGTCCTACAAAAGAAGATTATCAGGATGCAACAATGCCCTTAAACCATCTGGCAATTCCATTTGTAATTAGGGACAATATTAAAATACTGACCTGTTGTTCATATGCTTTCTACCTACGCTTGGACATGGCACTCAGACATAAACAGACTGGAATGTGATTTGTTTCTCAAGTTAAAATCACAAAATCGCAGTTATTCTTGGGTTTAATGTTTGATTGAAATTGCATTTTTTGAGATTTGCTTCAGTTTGGACACTCTACTTGGATGATACATGCAAAACATCTTCATCTCTGTTAGCTGACTGTGGCTGCATTTCAAATATTCATGTCTCTAATGTTGTCTTCTAGTGCAACATAATATGCCATATTCTATTATTAATTGTTATTAATTAAGTTGTGGCTTGAAGAATAAGAGGATACATCTTAACTTGTCTGCCAGCTTTCAGTTTCGCAAAAACCACTGCCATAACCACACACATTTGACCTTACAAATAAAATAGCATTCTAGACTGTCTGTTTCAAAGATCAGACATGCAGGGTTTTTAGATGCTGACCTGAGGATGACCTGCTCCAAGAGTTTGGTCTTCACTTCATCCTCTTGCAGACGCTTCTGAGTCTCCTCCTCAGCTGGAGCTCCGTCTAACAACCAGCGCTCCCTCAGTGCCTTCGACTGCAAGAGGACATAACAAATATGGACATGTTAAATAAGTAATATAATTTATTTCATGTTACAGTGATACAGTGATAAAAAGAAGAACACATTTCATTAGAATTGCCCTTAACACCCCTGTGTGTTTGGTGTATGAGTGTGTATGTCAGCTATAATGAAAATAGCACAAGCAGGTAGAGGACTTTTGATCATGCGTCTCTCATCAGGAGCAGTGGATTAATGAATTAGCAGTAATTCAATCTCCCAAAATGCTGCATGTTTTATCAGTGTAATTTCTTTCTGAGGAGATTAGTGGCACTTTCACTAAGGACGACAAGCCCTTTAGCTAATCTACAACAAAAATCTACCAGTGAGCGCGTCCAGCCGACTGCTGCCTTTCACTGATTCTGTCACATACTTTAACTGCTGCCAACTTGTTGCTGCCAAGTAGACTATGGCACCCAGCCAGAGCATCAAGGCTTCTGGCATTGAACAGAAAAAAATCCAAACTAAGATATAATTCTCCTATTATACTCAATTGAGCATGGGATTGGAACTCCAGATAATTCACGGAAAGATAAAAAACAAAATAGTTCTTATCTTAAACCGCATCAAACATTTCCTGGAGGTTGACAATGATTACAAAAATATCTTTCGGGACTGGAAGTTGAGAGCACAGACTATGACTAAATTCCCTGATTGTAAACTGATAGTCTCATTGTAACTACTGAAGATAAAGTTAATTAAATGACAGGATAATTAAACTGTAATAAACAACAACACAGGAATATAAATGTATATGTTTTGTTCTGAGGTAGAATTTTCACTTTATAACTCACCTTCCACTTCTTTCTCTTCTTTTCAATATATGTTTACTTCCCCTATCAATTACATAACAGCCCTGTATTTTGACTCCCCATCCACATTCTCTCTGGTAGATAAGCTAATATCAAAGCAAATACTTGGCATGCTTTGAGGTAAATATAACAGTGTGTCTTACTCGCAGCTGTTAGACCATGCAGCGAAAGACAGCCCTGCTTGGCCGTATGGAAAAGTGCTGGAAAAAGCTCTTGTTTTCACGAGTTGGACTAAAAATCTGGACCTGCGCTTGATGTGAATTCCTCTCCAGTGATGCAACAAGAATTTCTACAGCAAAACTCCCCCCATTTTTTTCCCCTTCTCTGACTCGACCACCACCCCTTCCTCCTTCTTGTATGCATCTATATCCATCATAAAGTTCATGAACTTTTTGGTTCCTGCATTGAATAAGGTTGTAAATGTCAGGGTGTATTTCCCTATATTTTAATCAGTGTTTATCTGTTTTCATCTGTTAAAGCGCCTGTTGTTCTATATATCTTTCCCTATTGAGTAATTCAGCTTAGACACCCAGCGCCACAGAGCTTTACAGCACACACACTCACATGGTGTAATTCAACACTCTTCATACCCCAGCATGGTCTCTTGGGCACTGAATCTAACCCTTGCTTCCCTCTCTCTCTGCTCTTTCAATCTTGCCACACCCTACTACCCCAACGCCTGACATCACTTAATGTACTCACTCATGCGTACGCAAGCACACGCGCACACACACACCAGTCTGCGCGAGTGGTCGTAAAGCTGGAGCGCTGAAGTTACGTATCTCTCCATTGTTCTTTGGAGTAAAAGCTGCTAACGTAGCAGACAAAGGGCGGAATTGTGATACAGGCACACACACAGATACACACACATACACACACATCCAAACGTACTGGGCAGCTGTGTGGAAAAGAGCTTTATTTCAAAATAAGTGTAGCTTCTTTCCTTCTACAAATTGACATTCCAAAACCTTTTATTATTTGGCAATATATGATTCAGGTTCTCCAGAATAATGTTTATCCAGTCAATGTTATTATTCTTTGATTTGCCCAATGCACATTTACATTTTACCATATTTTAAAGGAATAGATAAACATATTGGGAAACAAGCTCATTTGCCTTCTTGCAATGAGCCGCATGGGAAGATTGATACCATTGTTATGTATGTACGGTAAATATAAAACTCAAGCCAGTAGATGGCTAGCTTAGCTTAGCACAAACACTGAAAACAGGGAGAAACCGCTAGCCTGGCTCTGTCCAAAGGTAACAAAATCCACTTCCAGGAAGTTACCGGCATATCCCCCCTGTAAAACTTGTTTTTACACTCTGTTTTTATATAGATTAAACAAATGAGATATGAAATGAGTTTAAGAGGTGCTGCAGTCAGATTTGGTTAGCTGTTTCCCCCTGTTTCCTGTCTTTGTGCTAAGCTAACAAATTGCTGGTGCTAGCTTTACTGTACGTTCTCATCTAACTCTTAAGCAAGAAAGCAATTAGCAACCAAGCATTTTCCTTTAAAAGACGTGAGACCGTATGTCTAGCGTACATGTGTCAGAATATTACAAATGGAAAATTGTTAGCATTGTTCAAGTGTATACTTTTAATAACTTTGTAGAAGTATGCCAGTGGTAAATGGGCATTTCATTGTTTTCATATGCTCCCCTATAAACTGCTGTGTTTTACATATTTAGATAACATAAGATCTTGACATTCAGAGGTTTTAATTAAAGGGACCACCAGATGCTGCAGGCATACTCATATCTGCTATGGCTTGCTAATTAAAAACAGAACTCCTATGAATGCTTTCTGTGTTAACAACGCTGTATTACCATTTTGGTTGTGACAATGTGTGTATGTGTGTGTATGATCATGCATTATGATTTAATAGTGGGGCAGGTACACCGTTATAAAATGTGGTGTGTAAACTGAGACATTTATTGGGTTTTCCACATGAACACCACCTCTGGAAAACCATACTTGCTGTGGTTTGCACAAAGAGCCTTCTAATGCTCCTGTACAGCATGATTACACTCCCCCTCTGTGTGTCAGTGTCTATGTGTGTGCTGCATCTATGTGTGTATGCGTGCGAGACGAAAGTGGGGTGCGGTGGGTGTAAGAGTCGTTTCCTGTTGGTGGGAGTGGGACAAAAATCTGTTTCCTTTGCCAAAGCCCTCTGCATTGTCTGAGGCTTCTGTGTTCTTTTATGAAGCAACGCACACAAAAACGCACACGCACACACACGCGTACAGATACACACTTACAAAGATTTGCTCTGAAAATAGAAAAAGTGGGAGCACGCAAGGCCAATAGCACCGGTCACAAGCACTTTTGCCACCAATGCACACACATCTACACACCACAACCTTTGCTCGTATCTGTGACCTGCTGGATTGTCCGGGGCTGAAATAGCTTTGATAGTGCTGACACATACACTGACAGAAGCCTTGGCTCTGATATAATGAGTGTGTGTCCACATGCATGCAGAATTGAATGTGTGTGTTTTTTAGGGAGTGTGTGTGTGTGTGTATAAACAGCATGTGGAGGAGCTGGTGGTGTTATCTGTTGTCCATTCTGAACATTCCGTGACAGCAGTAGTTAGGGAGTATCTCACTATGTGGGACTGATAGATTTGAAAGGAACTGTTGAGTTTAATTTAGTTGTTTGGGTGTCTAACACTGATCACTCGTAGAGCATAATTCCTGAAAATGCAGAACTAACCGGCAGTTTTTCTGTGAGCTTGTTTCAAGTTCTGGTAATAGTAAAGGAGAGGCATGTAACGGATTAATGTTACACTTGGAAAGAATTTTATTCATAAATACATTAATCTTATCAGTGATAGGGCTCCAGCACATTTCAAACAAGGTGGAATTGGAGTGTTCTCAATGTTAAATACAGTGCAATTATACCAGTTCACTCACTGCAACTTGAGGTCGTTCTATGCACGCAAGATGATGGTGGAATTTGCAAGTCAAGGTGAGGGTGATGGAGAAAAAAATAGTACATATATACAGTAAAATTCAAACAACATGAGCTGCAGCTGCAGTAAAGTTACAGCTAAGATGCTTTGAGCCGATCCTGGTATTGTTTTTCATAGCGACATGAGCAGCCATGCCAGCAAAAAGACAAAGGGATGGTATAGTATGTTTGTCCCTAACAGGATGGGCAGATTTTCCTAGGAACAGATGAGGAGTTTGGGTTAGGAGATGATTTAGGGTCAGGATATTCTATAAAGTGCAATCAAAAGCTTATAGTGTTTGCCGTAGTAGTGTACTGCCACGCTTGAAGACTGAAAAGTGTTAGAGAGGGCAGACCTGACATGACATGGTGTGTTTTTGTTACCTTAGAATGAGCCGTTTTTATTTACAGAGGGACTGTGTCCTCTTCTACAGAGTCCGCCATGTTTGTACAGTAGCCCAGAACTGACAAACCAAACACTGGCACTAGATAGGGCTGTTCGCATTTTTCTCATGTTTTTCTACTATCATAGTTTCCCCAAAGCGCTTGAAAGTGGAGGGTGAAGCCGGAGAGTTACAACTACACTGCTAGATGCCACTAAATCCAACACACTGGTCCTTTAAGTACTCCAATTACCATATGCATTAATATGATGTTCTTGAGGGGTTGTGCATGATACTTGAAGCTGTGCAATGTGGGAAATAACACTTCTTAGTTCTTTCAAGGACCCGATTGATTTCTTTTAGAATGATTTTCATTCTGGTGTCATCTGTCTACATAAGGCTGAACAAACTCTGATTGTGTCCTGTGCATAATGCGGCGAATAAAGCTCAGTAAGCTGCCTGTGAGAACATACCGGTGTTTTTTTTTTTTTTGATGTGAACTGCTTGCTTAAATTACAAAGTGAGGCTACAATAAAGAAGAGCGTCCTAACCCCACTAACCCCGTCCTAACTGTACTGTTACTAACTCAGGGAACTCTAAACATTAACAAACACTCCACTTGTTTTCAGACAATATTTTACATGATTTAGTTTTTTTTTTACTTTCAAAAAACACAATTGCACCAAAAAGTACAGTATTACAAATACAGCATGTGTACCTTGAGATGCTGGAGTTGTCGTCGGTCGTCATCCAGCTGCCTCCTCTTGTTTTCAATCTCTGTCTGCCTCTTCCTTTTCTCCTGTTACAACACATATATATTATGATTACTCTGCGGGTGCATTATTAAACAGATGTTTTTAAGGAACACCACACGTCCTCAATAAGGCTGGGTACCAAATTAATTAGGCATTACTGAAACTATTTTATGAGCATCAATATAAAAATATTTTGAATACCCAGCCCTTGTCTTTAATGGTAGCGCTGATGATTTAATGGTGACTTTTGATGGCTGAGTACATAATGTTTTAAGCTTATTTAATTGCTCAGTGTGTCTGCAAAAGAGTAAAGAGACAGACGTTGGTATACAGTTACTGTATGCACTATATATTTATAGGCACATATTATTCACACAGTTATCAGGTTATAAACAAACCAAATTCAAATGTGTTTCAGTAAATGTCTCCCATACATTATGAATGTTTTGTGAATGTTTTTCACAATATACATAATTATACTGGGCAGAAACCTGGATATTATGTATCTGAAAAGATAAAGAGAGAGGATAAAACAGACTGACTGAGGATGAAAAAGCAATAGAGAGAGAGGGGAGAGAGCAAAGGGAAGAGAGACACTGAGAGACAGAAAGACAGACAGAAAATGGCATTGAGCTGTAGCTACTGCATTAGCTTTTCGATGTCCTCTAATGGGTGAAGGAGATGGGATCTAAAAGGTTGAGTCATTAAGACGGGCGGCCAGATCCTGACAAGCAGCAATGATTGGTTGTTTCTACAGCCATCAGTGTGCCCTGATGTGCCCTGACTCCATATATGTATGCGTATGTAGATATAACTTACAGCGATGGCCTGGAGTCTCTCCTCTTGTGACACCTCAGCCATCCTGGAGGAAAGAAAGGGAGATAGATTGAGGGAGAAAGAGAAAGACAGACAGAAATAGAGAGTTATAACCACACATGACCACCAACATCAGACATTACACGCAGTGACAAATAACTCTCCTTGACCGTAGCATTCGCTCACCAGGCATTTACCTTCTGACGACTTCCCAGTGACTGAGGTTAAATATCTGTCTGTTTGCACTAATTCAGTGTCTCTTTCCTGTCAAGGAGAGTCAGTGAGCACATGCTAATGTGCTAGCAGGGCTCTGCTGGAGATTCCTGCTCTAATAGGTTCCAGACCAGAGCTCCAGGATGGAGGATGGACGGAAGCATAGCTGAAGCAAGAGCAGAGAGACTGCGAATGTTGACCGACTGAGACATGAATAAAGCTATCACAGTATCAGGCTTCTTCAAAAATCATATATCTTGCATCAAGTTTTACATCTTTTGCCGTAGTTAATGGCTAACGTAATATTTTCCAAGTAGAAAATGATTCATGACCTCTCACATCAGTCAGGGATTGGCTGAAATCATCTGAATTTACATTCCTATATAAGGAGCCAATTTTCACTGATGTTGTGTTGGAATGTAAATACAAGGGCACAGCTTTCATTTCAACTTTGGAGGGGGACATTCACTGGGGAGTCTTCAAAGTCATAGAGAGCTCTGTGTTCTTAATGGTTTATATAGACTATTTTGATTATAAAATAATCACTGAATTCTGTTTTCAAGCCAAAATGTCAAACAAATGTCACAATTCCAGCTTCTGAGTTGTAGAGATTTGCCGCTTTCCTTTGTTTTACATCATTGTAAAGTAATACAATGCGTGATCTTTGGGCTTTGGACTGTTTGTCGGACAAAACAAGACGTCACCTTGGACATTTTTCACTGTCCAAAAAGACCAAAAGATGAATTGATTACTTGAAAGTAAGTAATAGTGAATACAGTTGCAGTCCTAATTACAAAACCACAAATTTATTTTTAAGACAAATGGATGAGCTATGATTTAATACCTCTATTTGAATTTATGTATGAGGACATCAATTTCTTAAAAAAGCACACGATACTTTCAAGGATGGCTGAGATGGTCTTGGTCACTTGATAAAGTTGATTGATTACAAAATGAGAACTATAAGGACTCTGTGTCAATATAAAATTACACCTTATAGAATTATGTTGCTATAATATCAAGGATCTCTGGAATGTAATAAGCAATATAGCCCACAAGTGTGGGCACTTAGTGTGTATAAATTGCATTGGTAGCTCAGGACCTCTCTGACTCTGACTAGTGTCTCAAGCCACAACATCTTAGCAGCGGGTGCCTTTTACAGCCTGAACTCAAACTGCATCACAACACATATGGGATTCTCATTTGTCTGCACTGGTCCAAACCAAACTCTTACAAAAGAGCTATGACAACAACAAATCTATGTCACTCCCCACCCTCCCCTCCTCAGTGCTAGTAAAGAATGTGGTAAAATTATTTGATCGTGTGACTCCTCTTGATGAGTGGCCAGAACACCAACTGTAACTGTTTAAATTTTCTTGCATCATTTCCCAAAGAAGTGCTCATAAAGTTTGGATTGCTGTAGGGTTGGTCTGATTGTTACACGTTTTATTTCCCCCCACAAAGGCATGCAATGCAATAATACTGGCTCCTCTCAAAATATAAATAAGCTTACATTTTCATTGTCATGCCTCTGTCCAATCACAGGAGCTTAAAAGCCTCAGAGGTGTATGATAGAAGGACACACTGCAAAATGCAGGATTTATGGACATTTTCTGGCACAATTTTATTCAAACACCACACTGCTCTCTTGCTCTCCCACTAAGCCACATCATCACATGAAGACCCTTTGGAGAAAAAGTAAAACCTCAATCATCTGATCAACCCCTAAGTACACACACAAACACACACACAAACACAAACATAAACACACACACACACATACATTGTACTGTCTAGACACATTCTTTCTAATTTTCGCCTTTTCTACTGATCCAGCACAAACAGGAAGAAAGAATCAATAATAAAAAAAGGCTCCAAATTCAAAAGTACATTATGTTGCTAACACCTTCAATCAGCTGTTTATGTTTATGTTGTATATTGACAGTGTTTTAGTACTTATTTCCTCCCTAGAATCTCCATCCCTTCCCAGCCCTCAGGTTACAGTGGAAGCATGGGCGGTTAGCTGACTGAGCATCTGGATCAGTTCATCAGTGGTATGAAGGAGGCCTGCAAGCAGCGGTTGACCATCCTGACCTGGGAAAGGTCACAGTGAGCATCAGCAGAGATGAGGCAGAACACACCCACAGCGTAGCTATGGCAGGTGAAACTGAACAGAGACTGGTAGTACAGAAAGAATGAGTCACATGTTTTTTCTATTAATGTTAATTACCTTTTTTAGATAGATCAGTTGTGAAAATAATAAATAGAATAAACCAGCATACACTGTAAATCACAACTTTACTTAAATGTTTATAAGCAACAGGTTGCACACAGAACCTATGTACACCTGAACCTATTTTTTCTCAGTTCAACAGAACTTTTTAACCATATAATTTGTGTTTTTTGAACGCTGAATTCAATGTCATATTTACAGGGAATGTATAGCTTACAGAATGAAATGTAATTTTACATAAAAATAACATAATATTTTAAATTTTCCAGCTACTAATTCGTTAGTGTAATTAAGCAAAATCTTTGAGCAAAGTTTTGCTGACATAATTTTAATGCTAGTTTATGTCTTGAAGTGTTAACACTTATAGATAATGTTGAACACACATTTATGAGTATCCAGTTAGAACTGGTTATCTATTGACCCCAAAACCTGAGTTCTGGGGTCAATACCAAAACAATCACCCTTGATTTCAGGAATGGAAGTTAACTGAAGGTCACATGATGACAAGTGAGTCAACTCTATGACAACTGAGATAACTTTATTAGCTGTATACTTTGTCTAATCAAAAGTGTGAAAATAAGGAATTATCTAAAAAATACATAAAATATGTATTTCAAATCTGACCAATTCCGGTTTTGGTGCTACAGAGGTTTGATACCCATGCCTAAACTTAAAACAATGTAACTGAAAACAATCAACTGTCAACAACAGTGGAAAAATCAGCTTTGTGACTCTGTGGGTTGTGATTAAGAATATTCAGTTCATGCCAAAGTTAACAGCAGATGTCCACTGGACCAACTGGGAGTTAAGTGCTCAGATTTTCCAAGCTTGTCACACCTGAATTTCAGTGCTAGCCCTGCTTCTCTAACCTCTAGGCTACAGCTGTGATGAATTTTTAAGATGTATTGGAAAAAATATGTCCACCTTGGTGGAACATTGAGGGGCCCGTGTCCTGCTGCCTCTCTCATAAATTATGGACAATCAGGGAGAAAGGAAAGCAGACACAAAGACAGGCATCTTTGCAGCATAGTTAGAAGAGTAATTACATTTATGGCTGAGAAAGAAAGCCATCTAGGGAGGACGGCAGTCACTCACAGAAAGGCCAGCAGAAACATATTGAAACAGATAAATATAATAGATCAACAACAGCAATCAGACAGGACTGAGACAGGAAGTGATCTTAGCCGGCAGACTTACATACAAACAGCAAACTAAAACTAGGGATGTTTTTGTCAATATGTCAAGGCAGGTGCGCTGCCGAAGAAGTCAAGGAAACGGACTAATGACCAGCCCTATTCCCTGTTGAGTGCACTGCTGCTGTAGCCTTTCCAGGAACACATTAGCTGCCTGCATAGAGCACCAGCTAATAGCATTGTGCTCATGGTCCTCTGGCACCAGCAGTCACTTAACACACTCTCTATTTGCACCAAAAAGCCCTGAAAGTGATTACCTTAATGCTTACGGAGCTAAATGAATAATAATCCCACTGAGCATCTTTGTTTAGGGATATCATGTTGATATAAAACCCAACCTGGATTTACAACCCTCCTTTACAAGGTGAGAAAAAATGGTTTTCCTTTCACTGAATTGGCAGGATAGACCTTCCTACAACATTGCTGGTTTGGGGGTTTCACCTTTCATTGTACAAGATTATTGTCCACAAAAACATCCCTTTTGAATCTTCTAAAAGCATGTTTTTGAAAAGGAGCAGTTTGTTACAGCCATCTGCACTAATATGTTCTGAAAAGTCGGTTAAGAAACATTGTATGAATTATTTATGCTACACAGTCTGGCATTGAAAAGGTCAGCAAGTACATGCTGTACTGATCTGTGCACGATACTTGTACACTGTGGCACTCTGGGACAGACATGGGCCATCCATCTATGTGTCAATCTGTTGGCGGTAGTGGCAGACTACACCAGGTCTCATCACCACTAATCTGGGATTATTCTAAACAAATACCACAACAACCTGGAATTGGACGCCGCGATTTATTGAGTCTGATCCTGCCTCCCACACTCACACGTACTCAGATGCACGGATTGTTTTTAAAGCTTGTTTTTATAGCATCTGTGCTTCATTAGATAGTAAACACGTCAATGCACAATGCCTGCGCTGATCTAACACCTACAACACTGCAGCCATATGGGATGTCCCTTGGCTTGACGAAATGGCATTAACAAAAACATGAAAAACAGGAAGAAAAATATAAGAATTCTTATGAGGAGGGTTATTAAACTAAGACATCTTATGTCAACAAATCCCATTAAAGACAAAAACTAACAACTAACAGCTTATCTTCCTGAGCTGACGACCTCCGTTGTTGTCCAGAAAATATTAAAAATACATTAATGAGCCCCCGCCCTCACACTGGATGACATGTTGCTTCTTAAGATGCACAATTTTGAGTCCCACTGCCGTACCAATCAAAGACACTACTCCTATTTGCACAAGACTACAGCGCCCAGCTGTCTTTCAAAAAACTGTATATTTCTCCATGACCTGCATGACCTGTAAAGATCTTATGTTCAGTAGAAAAGAAGGAGTTTGGGGCTGAGAGCCAAAGACAAGCTGAAAAATGGACTAATACTTGTTGATT